CACAGTGAGCAGAGATCGCGCCACTGCACTCCAGCTTGGGGAACAGAGTGAGACTCCATCTTAAAAAAAAAAAAAAAAAAAAAAAAGGTTGGAGTGATGCAGGGCGATGAGCCAAGTAATGCCAGCAGCCTCTTCTAGCTGGCGAAGGTGAGGAAACAGATTCTGTAGAGCTTACAGAAGAAAGACAGCCCTGCTGACTCACTCTAGACTGCTGACATCCAGAGCCGTGAGATAAAAAATTTGTGTTGTTTTAAGCTATTAAGTTTGTGGTAATTTTTCACAGCAGTAATAGGAAACTAACACATGCCCTTTCCCAGTCAGTCACACTCCAACCACACAATTTCCAGTCAACTATAGGCCCTTTCCATTATGATGGTTTTGCCTTTTCTGGAATTTACATGGAATTATATGCTATGTACTCTAGTTTCTGGTTTTTGCTCAGAACATTTTTGAGATTCATTCATGTTGTTGCACATATCAGTAATTTATTCCATTTATTAGCACTTTATTGGTAAAATGTATTCTATTTGTACAGACATGCCACCATTTGTTTTTCCATTCATGTGTGGGTGAACATTTTTATTATTTTCACGTTCTAGCTATTATAAATAGGGCTGCTGTGCACATTTGTGTAACAAGTCTTTGTGTAGACATATATAAGCCAGAGTTCTTCAGAAACAGACAACCAATAGTATGTGTTTGTGTGTGTATGTGTGTGCACGCGTGCGTGTGTGTGTGATTTTAAGGAATGGACTTACATGATTGTAGAATCTGGCCAATTCAGATTCTGCACGGTATGCCAGTAGGCTGGAGATCCAGGAAAAGTTACTGTGGCAGCTAAAACTCAAAGGCAGTCTCCTGGCAAAAGTCCCTCTTCCTGGGGAAAGAAGTTAGTCTTTTTTCTCTTAAGTAGTTTTCAACTGGTAGGAAGCAATCTGCTTTACTCAAAGTGTACTGATTTAAATGTTAATCTCATCTAGAAGTACCTTCACATCAACGTCTAAACTAGTGTTCGATCAAATATCTGAGTACTATGAGCTAGCCATGTTGACATGAAAAATTAACCATTGCATATGTTTTCACTTCTTTTCCAGGAAATACCTAGAAGTGGAATTACTGGTCATTTAGTAAGTGGGTGTTTAACTTTATAAGAAGCTACCAGTGTTATCCAAAGTGGTGGTGCACTTTACATTCCAAAAAGCATTGTATGAGAGTTCCGGTTATACAACCTCCTCAGCATTTGTTGTCAGACTTAATGTTTGTGAAAGATATCCTATGACATCTTTGCCTATTTCATAATCATGATTTTCTCCTATATTTCCTTCTCAGAGATTTATAAATTAGCACTTTCGTTTAGGCCTATGATCTATTTTCAGTTAATTTTTTTGTGTATTCTAAAATAAGGGTCAAAGTTAATTTTTTTTCCATATGACTATCTCCTTGTATCTGCACCATTTTTTAAAAGACTATCCTTTCCTTATAAAGCACATAGGCACCTATGTTGAAAGCAAAGTTATTATACATGTACATCTATTTTTGTAGTCCCTATTTTATTCCATTAATCTATATGACTCTCATAAGTATACTTTAGAGTAATTTGTGGGCCAATTAGGATGGCTATTATCAAAAAACAGAAAATAAATTTGTAAGGATTTATTGGTAAGGATCCCTTGTGTATTGCTGGTGGAAATGAAAAGCGGTGCAGCCACCTTGGAAAACAGTAAGATTTCTCAAAATTCTCTTTTTTTTTTTTTTTTAGACAGAGTCTTGCTCTGACTCCCAGGCTAGAGTGCAGTGGTGTGATCTCGGCTCACTGCACCTTGCCTCTGCCTCCTGAGTTGAAGCAATTCTCCTGCCTCAGCCTCCCGAGTAGCTGGGACTACAGGGTCGCGTTGCCATGCCTGGCTAAGTTTTTTTTTGTATTTTAGTAGAGACCAAGTTTCACCATGTTGCCCAGGCTGGTCGCGAACTCCTGAGCTCAGGCAATCCGCCCATCTCAGCCTCCCAAAGTGCTTGGATTACAGGCGTCAGCCACAGCACCCGGCCAATCCTCAGTTAAGTGTAGAATTACCATATGATCCAGCACTTCCATTTTTGGGTATATATCCAAAAGAAATGAAAACAGGGGCTCAAACAGATTCATAGCAGTGTTATTCACGATATCCAAATATCCATCAACAGATTTATGGATAAACAAAACGTGGTATACACATACAATGGAATATTCAGCCTTGAAAGGAAATTCTGGCTGGGCGCAGTGGCTCATGGGAAATTACAATGGTGAAACTTTAGGAGTAGGCTGATTGAAATCTTATAAAACTTCATCATAATTGTAGTTTGCCAAGTTAACAGTTCACATGTTAAGTATTTCAAACAAATTATTGGACCATTTTGGGTGGAAACTTGATATTAATAACTAGTGTAGGGTTCTTTGCAGTTTGTTGAAAAAATTGTAGGCTAGGCACAGGGTTCATGTTTAGATTTTAAGCACCTTTATAACAATGAGAAGTTCTTTTTTGGAGATGGGGAACTGTCAACAGTTTGTTAACCTGACATCTCTGCTGATTTAGTTTCTGGGCAGAGTTCCTGTGTTAGCATTCTCCTCTTCTTTTGCATTTATCAAGTTGTTTGGTAGAGGTGGAATCTAAGTGGTTTTGTCTCAACCACTCGGGAAAATACTTGCAAGTTGACCACTGTCGGATTTACAGAATATAATTTCTCTAAATCCTCTCACATATTTCTTTCTTTCTTTCTTTTTGAGATGAAGTCTCGCTCTGTCGCCCAGGCTGGAATAGTGAAGTGCAGAGTAGAGTGGCCCTATCTCACTGCAACCTCCGCCTCCCGGGTTCAAGCAATTCTCCTGCCTCAGCCTTCCGAGTAGCTGGGACTACAGCCGCACACCACCATGACCCGGCTAATTTTTGTATTTTTAGTAGAGGTGGGGTTTCACCATGTTGGTCAGGCTGGCCTCGAACTCTGACCTTGTGATCCGCCTGCCTCGGCCTCTCGATTGTGCTAGTATTACAGGCGTGAGCCACCGCGCCCGGCCCACATATTTCTTATATAGATTTATTTCTGTTCTCTCTTTTTAAAATGATCACTGAAAAAAATGCAGGTGTGCTTGGAATATGGATTTGTATCTAAAAGAAACTTTTATATTAGTTCCAATAAATAAGATATATTAGCTACTTCATAGAGAAAACGGAAAAGACAAAAACAGTGAAAAATTATTATTATTTTTAAAGGGTAACTGATTTACAAAATCAGATACATGAAATGATTCTCAATGAAACTAAAGTAGTTCTCAGGGCATATAATAAAAATGCTAACTTCTATTTCTCCAAATACACTTTAAAGTTAGAACGTTAACTATTTGAAAAGGTGAAAAAAGCCTACTTATCTTGATACAATTGTAGGGTCACTAGGATTTTATAATTTTAGTATAAATACCATAAGATCTAATTGAATTAGTGGCTAAATATTTATGCCATAATAAAAGCAGCTAGGATACTCAATCTCCTGAGAATTTCAAAGAAAGCAGCTTTTAAAGATGTACAGAAGCAACTCTTTCTAACACCACCACCGATAGATGTAAAATGTAACTTTTGCAAGAAAGGTAATTTAAAGGTCGTCAGCTAACAACTTACCAAAAATCATCTAGTCCACAAGCGAGTTCACACAGATCTCTGGTCTCCGTACCCTCTGTTGTGGGGAAGGACAGGGACTGAGCGGACTCGCTGTGGGGAACTCAGGTTCTGGGCGGGTGGCATTCATCCACTCACAATCCCCTAGGCTGTGCCAGATGGCAACCACCCTTGGGGCCTCCTAGGTACAGACGCTGGGAGGACCGCCCAGATTCCCTTACCAGAAGACGCCCATAGAGTGCAGAGGCGAAGGTGTTCCAATTTCCTCAGGTGAAGGATATCTACTGGTGGCTACAGGGCACAAATAAAGAAAAAGTGTGTGGATCCCACCTACCAGTTGATGTCCAGCAGAGATCCGAATGCCTATTTTAGTTATATTTGACCCTCCGGACCCCTGGTCCCAGAACCTGCCCTCCCCCAAGCTCTCTCTCTACCTCTGTGCCCACTCCAATCAGTCAAACAGAGCATTTCGGGGCAAACCCAAAAGAAGAGCAGGCAATTTAGCCCCCCTGGGGCCTGTAGCCTGAACTCTTCAGACATGTTGTCCCAGTCAGAGCCTGGAGACGCAGCTCAGTATCTGCCTGCCCCAAGAATCCTGAGGCTGCAAGATCTCCGGACAGCCCTGGGAGACAGGCCGCTGCACTTACATAATAACAGGGTCCTCTCTGGTACCAAAAGCCTGCAACGCTTAGCAGAAAATAGCTCCTCCAGATAGCTCCTCATCCTCCAAATAACTGGGAGATGATTCTAGTCAAGTTGGAATAACAGGGATCAGATTTACATTCCTGCTGTAAAGAACCAAAACCTAACAAAAAAGATGAAATGACACTTTTCAAGACGTACAATATTTGGTAAGGAAGAATAATAACCCCGGAATCACAGGGGAAAAAATGAATGATTGGAGAGAGGGGGAGGTGAACACCAGGATTAGCCCCTAACTATGGCCTTGAGTTTCCAGGCCCCAATGCAGGAAGACAGAACCCAAGCAGAGCCGGTGGACTCCCAGAGTTGATGAGGAGTTGATAGACTGGGAGACTAGGGCAGCTACAGTTAATATGACAGCATACCAGAAAGAAGAGAGCTGTAATAAGAGATAACTCCAGAAAAAACTTCTGCAGTGTTCAGCTTAATACTCATGAGTATGTGCAGGTATGGAAACTATACAGGACAGAAAAGACTACCCAGAATCATCAGAGGTAATATGATATTGAATTGTCTAAAGTAACTAAGAAATTGTTTCTCCTTGTGAGACAAACAGGAATTATATTGCTGAATTTAATGCTTTCACCAAAAAAAGATAAGGGTCTAGATGAATGGGGTGGGAGGGGGAGGAAGAGACCCAAAACTTTGGCTGTTGGCCGGTTAGCTTAGCTGGTTAGAGCGTGGGGCTAATAACACAAAGCTCGCGGGTTCTATCCCCGTATGGGCCACATGTTTTCCTCAGTACTTCTGGGTAATTCTAGAGAAACTCGTCGGTTTTCAGCCACCGAAGAGCTAAGGGTAATTAACAATGCAACTCGTCGGTTTTTAGCCAGCGAAGAGCTGAGAGTAATTAACAGTGCTCTCAGACGGTCCAAATTCCCTGCCATCATTTCTTAATCTCTCTGAAACCTAACTCCGTTCCCGAATCCCCCAAATGTCTACATCTCCTCAGGTAAAGTTCTTATTCTTTTCCTCCAGGTGTAAGGGCTGGGGACAGAAAGCTGTTCAGGGCAAAGGGCCCAAAATCGGGAGTCCTGCCGAAGGGAAAAAAAAATTAAAAATTAGAATTTTACCGGCTTTTTAAAAATTATTTAAATAAACCTTAGTTGATTTCAAACTGTCCTTCCAAATTACTACTGAAACCAACCTTGTTTCTCAAATTTACAAGAGATACGAGATAACAGAGAAGAAATATTGAATTGCCCTTTCAAGTTGGAAGCAGTATGCAATATGCATGTTTATTAATCACAAGAGGCCAGCTTCGACTCCTGTCTAGTTCATCCTTTCCTAAAAACAAAACAAGAAACCAAACCAAAATAAACCAAACCAAGTCCGTGCTCCATGTTCAAAGCGATAGCTTCCTCTCAGGGCAATCTTTTCTGTCAGTTAAATCTGAAAGAGTCTTCAGAGACATATAATAACAATCTCCTAAGAATGTCTTCCCTTTATCTTGTATCTTTTGACAATTTGAGGAAGAAGGTTGGTTTCAGGAGTAATTTGGAAGGACAATTTGAGATCAAGTGAGCTTCATTTAAATAACTTTTTAAAAGCCAGTAATCTTCTAATTTTTTTTCTTTCTTAGGCAGTGCTCCCAGTCTTGGGTCGTCTGCCGTGAACAGCTTTCTGTCCCCAGCCCTTACACCTAGTGGAAAACAATAAGAACTTTACCTGAGAAGATGTAGAAATTTTGGGGATTCGGGAATGGAGTTGGGTTTCAGATGGATTAAGAAATGCCTGCGGCGAATTTGGACCGTCTGAGAGCACTTGTTTATTATCCTCAGTTCTTCGCTAGCTGAAAACCAACGCATTGCTTTGTTAGTTATCTGTAGCCCTCAGCTGGCTGAAAACCGACGAGTTTCTCTAGAACTGCTCCCTGAAAAACTGCTGAGGAAAACATCTGGCCCGTACGGGGATCGAACCCGCGACCTCGGCGTTATTAGCACCACGCTCTAACCAACTGAGCTAACCGGCCCTCGGTAATACCGGTCTCTTTGTCTTGCATTTAATCTCGACCTTCATCCCTTTTTTGGGAAAGCATTAAATTTAGCAATATAATTCCCGTTTGTCTAACAAGAAGAGACAATTTCTTACTTGCTTTACACTCTTAATTTAAAAAAATGAGAAACTTTCTCTTAAAACAAAAGCAAAACAAGGAAAGAACATTTTTCATTTATTTATTTTTATTATTTTATTTTTTAAGCCATGTTCCTAGAGTTGAAAAAGGACGCTTAAAAATTCCAAACTGCTGCGAATAGTCCAGGAATCCATGGAAACATTTGTTGCTTTCTAAATGTCTGGTAATCAGTACGTGCAGACAGTGAATCAGACTCCGTGAAATATTAGTGAGTCCTTGTTTTTTAAGGGCCGTTCACTAACACAACCTAGAAATTGGCATCTGAAGGACATTCCCGACGAGTCTGTTTTCGATGGTCCCACCGTCGAGATCGTCCTAGGTTTCTTATGCCCGGAGCCTCCATTTGGAAGTTTCCCTACCTGTTGCCTCAGACTTCCAGAGTGATCTCAAATCAAAGCCCACTTTGAAGACCTTGGTATTGGAGAATTCTAGAAATGTGGCTCTACACCACTCAGGGACAGTTAAACCGATCTTTCTACCCAGCCATTGTCTCCCAAAAATATTATCATTGTTTTTTGTATCTTCTTTATTGTTTCAGAGATTTTGAACACATAGACAAAGTTAAACAAATGTTTTCTTTTTTCTCTTCACAAATAGTGGCATTTTATCCACTGTTGTGGGAAGTCAGGGACCCTGAATGGAGGGACTGGCTGAAGCTGCGGCAGAAGAATATAAATTGTGAAGATTTCATGGACATTTATCACTTCCCCAATCAGTACTCTTGTGATTTCCTATGCCTGTCTTTACTTTAATCTCTTCTTAGGACCCTGCGATGATTGCATTAACTGCACAAATTGTTTGTAGAGCATGTGTATTCAAACAATATGAAATCTGGGCACCTTAAGAACAGGATAACAGCGATTTTCAGGGAACAAAGGAGATAACTTTAAAGTCTGACTGTCTGGGCCAGGCAGAACAGAGTCATATTTCTCTTATTACTGAAAACAGGTGAGATAAATATCACTGACTTGTTTCCCCAGTAAGGAATATTAATAATTAACAGCCCTGGGAAAAGAATGCATTCCCAGGGCGGGGCCTCTAAAATGGCCGCCCTGGGAGTGTCTGCCTTTATGCAGAAGTAGATAGGAATGAAACACGCCCTGCAGCGCCCCCAGGCTTGCTAGGATTAGGAAATTCCAGCCTGGCAAATTATAGTAAGACCGGTTCTCTGCTCTTGAACCTTGTTTATCAATGACAATGCATGCACAAGTGGACATGGAAGTTCATTAATGATTCTAGTTTCACCCTGACTTTGTGATCTCGCCCTGACATCCTGCCTTGTGATCTTTTGTCGCCCTTAAAGCATGTGATCTCTGTGACCCATGCCCTATTCGTATACTCCCTCCCCTTTTGAAAATCGCTAATAACAACTTGCTGGTTTTACCGCTCAGGGAGCATCATGGAACCTGCCAACATGTGACATCTTCCCTGGACACCCAGCTTTAAAATTTCTCTCTTTTGTACTCTTTCCCTTTATTTCTCAGACCAGCCAACGCTTAGGGAATAGAAAAGAACCCACGTTGAATATTGGGGGTGGGGGTTTTCTCCGATAATCCACTTTTAAACCCTTTGCTTTTTTTTTTAACTCAGAATATATTTTTGCAATTCTTTCATATCAGAACAGAAAAATGTTCTTCATTCTCTTTTAAATATTCATAGGATTCAGTTATATGTGTTTATACCATAGTTCAACGGGCATAGCTTAGACTTCCATCCTCCTATTGCAAATTGTCCGTATCTATGAGCATACACTGTATCTGATGTATGCCATGATACTTTGCACATGTGGAAAGGCTGCATCAAAGAAAATTTACATTGGTAATTTTGATGGCCATTGTCCCCCTGTGCTTTAGAGGGTTGATCCCAACACTCTTTTTGCTTGCTTGTTTGTTTTAACTATGCTGAGCACAAATAGGATCCTGGACACATTTCTACACCTTCTTCCTGAATTCCCTGCTACAAATTCGAAGTGAAACTAGGCAATCAGTGTGTAGACTGTCTAGTTGGGACATATTATATTCTGGAATATTGTTTTGGGGTTACAAGTAATGATGTAAAGGGACTGTGATAGAATCAGGTGGGAGAAGGAAGGGGCTGAGTGGAGAGCAGGGAGAAGGAGACAACAGTGGCCTTATTTTGTGAACCTCAGAGAGAACAACACGGGCAGAAACACCTGAGGGAGAGAAACTAAGACACCTCAGTCTGTCTGGAGATTAAGACTGAGCTGCAGAGTGGTACAGGGCGACTAGTAGGAGATGAAGTCTGAGGAGGAGAGAACATGTATTAATATATGATGCAAAACCCTCTAGTAGATTACTATAAATTAATCAGAATACTTGATGGTAAAGTGGATGTGGCACTAAAAATAAATTGGCAGGGTGCAGTGGCTCACGCCTGTAATCCCAGAACTTTGGGAGACTGAGGTGGGCGGATCACCTGAGGTCAGGAGTTTGAGACCAGCCTGGCTAACACGGTGAAACGCCATCTCTACTGAAAATGCAAAAATTAGCCAGGCGTGGTGGCAGAGGCCTGTAGTCCCAGCTACTCAGGAGGCTGAGGCAGGAGAATGGCGTGAACCTGGGAGGTGGAGCTTGTAGTGAGCCAAGATAGCACCACTGCACTCCAGCCTGGGCAACAGAGCAAGACTCCGTCTAAAATAAATAAATAAATAAAAATAAAAATAAATTATCAGGTGTTAATTGACCTACATTAAGTCTAAACTAAGAACTATGATCACTATAGGCCAAGTTAAGGATTTTTGAATTGGTCCTAACAACAATGGGAATCTATGCAAGGATTTTAGGCAGAAAAGTCACATGGACAGAGTCACATTTTAAAATTTAGTTTATTATTTATTTTTGAGACGGAGTCTGGCTCTATCCCCCAGGCTGGAGTACAGTGGCACAATTTTGTCTCACTGCAAGTTCCACCTCCCAGATTCAAGCGAGTCTCCTGCCTCAGGCTCCCTAGTACGGTACCCAGTAGCTGGGATTACAGGCATGTGCCACCACACCCAGCTAATTTTTTTTTTTTTTTTTTTTTTGTATTTTTAGTAGAGATGGAGTTTCGCCATGTTGGCCAGACTGGTCTGGAACTCCTGACTTCAAATGATCCACCCGCCTCGGCCTCCCAAAGTGCTGGGATTACAGGTGTGAGCCACTGTGCCCAGCCAGATTCACGTTTTAAAAAGATCTCTTTAACTTTGTGTAACAACTACACAGGTCCAGTTCTAGACACTTGACAGGCATCAGGGAACTATAGCAACGCATCAGTAGTACTGTGCCAATGAAATATCTGCCCTCATAGAGGATGGAAACAGAGATAAATAACAAACATAACAAAAACATAAATTATAAAATATGTAAGAAGGTGTTAAATGTGATTGGTAAATAGAGGCAGGTAGGAGGAATTGGAGTGATGGGAATAGGTTGGAATGCTAAACAGAGCTGTTAGTGCAGCCTTAGTAAGATTGTGACTGGAAGAAAATGAGCAATCAAGCCATCTGACATGCGAGGTGTTAGAAGCAGAGCACAACCACTATAAAAGTCTAAAGGTGGATACTCGCATGGAATGTTTGAGGAACAGTAAAAGGGT